TCTTTTTGGAAGAGCCATGTACTTTAGAGGACTTTGTCTTCCCTCTGTAAATCCCAAAACAGTGCTCCTTTAAGCTACAGTAGAGGGCTGAAGTGCAAGATGCAATTTTGGAAAGAGCAAAATGAAGGGAATGAGTTTGCGGTGGGATTTGAGAGGAAGTGTCCTGATTTTTAGAAAGAGGGTCTTGGGAAGAAATTCCTTTACCTCCGCATAAGTCATGTCTGAATGTAAGGCGAGGGATTGCTGCTGCCATCTAGCCACACACCTGAGGGTGAAGCTAAAGCAGAGATAAGAAGGGTGAACCCAAAATTACTCCAGAGGAGAGTGGCTGCAGCTCTGTCCTATCTATTAACAACTGGAAATAATAAATATTGCCATTTTGAAAGTCATTCTCTCTTAGATATTTCTCTACTTGTACCTATATATATGTGAAGCAATTGATATCATTTTTATTGAACAATCCCTCCATATCCAAAGGAATAGGTCATTTAAATAGTTAATTCTCTGTCCTAGAATACTAAAAGATTCATTAAGAGGAAAATATTCCATAATCATTTCCATGTAAATCTTAAAAGATAACAGCTTACTTTCTAAGCTCACTCTTTTCGCTTTTCCCTTTGTCTGTACTGGTCCCATTGGCTTTTATACATGAAACACTATGAACCATGTCACTTGTTAGCAAAGGAAGTAAAACAAAAATAGTCTCATACGCAATAGCTCGCAATCTTTTGATGACATCCAATGCAATTGCATTTATCAATACAAGTTGTATATTTGACAAATATGCACTGAAATACTGAATTGTGTCCTGTATTCATATCTAAATAAGACATTTATGAGGATTCTGAGGGATATAAGAAATATCTGTTTGCTGCATTGTTAGTTGTTAACAGAAAGGCATTTTGCATAAAGAATAGCAAATCACATACATTTATCAAGAATCTAGTATGTACTAGACTGGGCACAAAGATGCTGGCTAAATAATGATAAACAGGAGTGGTTCTTTTGGAGTATATAGACAATGTGAGTAGCAACATTAATAAGCAGGATGTTGCAGCACAGTGTGAAAAATAATCTTATACAGTGCAATAGGTGAGAATCTAAGAGATATTTAACTTAAAATTTAAAAAAGGTAATGGAATGTACAGAGAAAATATCCTGGAGGAAATGCATCCTGGAAATTGAATTGAATTGAATTAGGAAAAAGAGAAAAGAATATGTAAAGAATTGCATACATGATAACTTGAAAGACGTATTAGACACCCTTATAAAGTTGAAGTGGCTAAGTTGAGGCAGGGAGTAATGCATTAACACATGGGATCAGTATGGTACAGAAGTAAAAGACCACAATAGTCATTCTTAAAGGTGGTTTGATTATATTCTATGTATATTTGATCAAAAGTGTTCTGGCTTCATGGTAGAGATTAGATTGGAAAGGGATGAAGCAGAAGCAGTGGCCCAGGTAAGATGCTAGAGAGTGGTTGTCAAAGAGGTGAAGAAAAGGGAAAATCTTTGAGGAATAGTAGATCATAGATCACTATTTGAAGGTAGTAGAAAGGAGAAGATATACATCACGTTAACACTTTGGGTGAGGTGGATGGAAAGTTATCACTGATGAAGGGCAACCAAAAAGAGCTTGTGTTGGGGGATGGTAGTTCTGTTTTAAGTGTGATTTTTGTGTGTGGGTGTGTGTGGTGCTGGGGATCAAATCCAGGTTCTCTTGTGTGCTAGGCAAGCACTTTACCATGAAGTCACATCCCCTACCCTTATATGTGATTCTTAGTTGTATATGTGATATCTATTGGATATTAGATTTGGGTAAGGAGTTATGTGCATAGATAGGTTTGGGGTTTGAGTGTGTGCTAGAGACTCTAAGGTCCAGTACTCTGGTTTACTAAATGATGATAATACTAACCATATTGTAATGTTGTGGTGTGAATTGAATGATATAAAAAAATTCATACCATGTAAAAGGGAGGCAAACATTATTGTTTTAATCTGCTGTGTCATTTATTATTGTGAGTGATACCTTTCTCTTTTTAAATTATTTTTGTACTTGGGTACATTATAACATTTACAAAAGTACTTACAATATATCATGGTTGAATTCAACCCCTCCATCATTCTCCTTTATGCCCCCTAATACCTTTCCTTCTTTTATTTAGTTTTCCAATCTATAGTCTAAAATTATTTGAGATGATTAAAGCCAATGTCTATAGAATTCTTACAGTGTGTGAGGTATTCTTCACTCTTCTAACACTATGTATATGTATATATATATATATATTGAATTAATTCTGAGAAAAATCTTTATACAGTTGTACTTTTATATTCTCTTCTTGTAGACTTGAAAACAGTCACAAAGTGTTTAAATTGAAAGGAATTTTCAATGTACCTACACCCAGCACAACAATAAAGGAAAAAAAGTAATAAAACAAAAATAAAATAAAAGAGTTAAATAAGTTAGACCATGGTCCAAAGATCATGTAGCTGGAGAAAAGGTCATTGAACTAACCAGTGAGTCTTGGACCTTGCACTTGAGCCCAGACCATCAGACCCACGTTCCTGTACCTTACAGTTCTGTGCTGTGGTGCCTCTCTCTGTAGGTAGATGTCTAAAAGTATATTCTTGCTTAATATACTTTTAACTTTTCATCAATCTATATTATTTGTTTTATTCCTTAAGAATGTTCTAGTAGCCATCTTTGCTTTACCCATTTCAATAACTACTATTTCTGTAATACTGTGTAGAGAGCCCATAGCTCTTTTTAGGTTAATATTAAAATGTTTACTTTATATCATGTCAAATCTACTTCTGATTGACTTTGAGTCATAGAAATGTAAACATAGATTTGTATTTCAGATTCCTATGGCCACATATACATTGAATTATAGGTTTTAAAGGAACTTAAAATCTTGTTTATCATAAGCAAGTGTTAGAATCCATCTTGCCAAATGGTTATTATACTAAGACTTCTGCAGCTTTAGTCACAGAAATCCTCCTACACACATCATATCTCAGTGTTCCCAGTTCTTCACAGTAACATTTTATGCACTATTATTTCCTCGGAACTTACAGAGTTGTCTGATACATGCTAAGTGCCCCATAGTTTTTGTGAAATGAATGCATCAATGAATGATTAATTATTAAAACCATACTATCCTTTAAATTTTTGTCATTTTGCAAGACAAATCAAAATTCTGTTAACTTAAGATATGAATGTATTTGTGCAAGAGGCAGGCTGAAATAACAAAGGAGATGTTGTTTTCGAGAACATGTAGAGTTCTAATGACATCTGAACATTAAGGCTGCGGGAGCCTAAGACATCGTACTATCTTCCTGAATCCTGCTGCAGCAACTTTGGAGTTGCTCTTTAAGCCTGGATAATTGCCATTTCAGTCTGTTTTAAGTGGAAATTTAAACCTTATTCTGAACTGGGGAGGGAACTCAGTACTCAAGCTGAAAGTCAATATGGGAAAAAAGGTCAATTCATACCATGAGTAGTTGGACATTTAGGATGTAAGAAAAGAAAATTATAGTTATATGTTGGGCCTTATAGCATTCCTTGGTGTCCCCTTTTTTTATTAGCAGCACTAACCATAAAGAGAGCCCAACTATAAATGGTTTAATTTTAATGCTTTTTTTACATTCGGCATCACTACAATAAAATATAAATTTATATTGTATAAATCTCATTGTTCCCAAATTCATTCCATTCAAGTGTACTAAAAAAATAAAGTATAAAAAAGTGTAATTTTGAAAGTTGAATCTATAATAATCTATTTATATCTTGGGCCCTGAGTTTTTGCTGAATACACCTCATATGACATGCTTAAAACCAAATTAGGATTCAGATTGGTTTTTTTTAGCAAAGTTATTCATAACACCTGATGATGATGATGAATTTGTGGTTGCTAAGTTAGGATTGGGCATTGCATTTCTAGGCATTTGATTAAGTGGCAGTTGCTGTGTTCTGTGCTGTGAATTGCCAACAAAAGCTGGATATGTCACAGGTGCTACAATTTGTATTTCAGAAAATTTGCTTCCCTAACGCTAATTGTCCCCAAAGTACCCCATTCTATGTAAAGTAATGAAAAGAGTTAGCAGTTTTAGTACTTTGATATAAATTAAGATTTTTGTCTACTACCTACATGTTGTAAGAAAAATAGAAGTTCAAATGAAGTGTATATGTGTGGGGGGGACTCTTTGTTTTACAATTTAAGTCACTCTTTTTTGTTGATTTTCCACTTCGAAATCAGAAAAAAATAATGCCAAGTAGTCATCACCAAATGACACATTGATAATGAGACAGACTAGTCTTCTTAGAAGGTAGTAAGGCATGCATCAGAAATATGTAGTTTTCACCACTAATGCCAGAAGACAAGAAGTGGGAAATCCTAAGCCAAAAACTATGAAATAAATTAGGAATGACTTTTTTTTATTAAATATTAATGTGTGTTTTAAACTCATGGAAATAAGTATTTATGATTTCTATAACAAGCAGTCTCTACTTTGCAGAGATACCAGGGAATTGGAAACAGCTTGTGGGGGAAGTATTGTCTCTCCTTACCATCTCCATTGATCACATAGAGAACTTTTTCTCTTAAAGAGAATATTTCTTTTTCAAAAATTCAACACAAAAGATTGATGGGGAATTTTGTGCTATATATTGCAATGCAGAGGTGTTTTCTTCAAAATTGACAAAGGTTGAATAGCTCAATTAGAATATTTTTGACCCTGAAAACCCATAAGAAGTGATTATAGCTGTGAAAATCTTCGTTTAAGAGATTAATATTAATGGATGACTTAATTAGGAAATATGCTATAGTTAAATCTCTTTGTAATATTTTAAATGAGATTCTAAATCTATTTTGTTTGCATGTTCTCTTTGATTTAGTGCAATTCCAACACATGGAATGGTTAATTGAATTGAGAAATAAATGTGTTTACTGGCAATTGCTTAAACTTTGAATTGTAATTACAATTTTATATTCTTATAGGATTATTTAACCATTCATAAGTATGGCAATGCAGCCAGAAATGATCTCTGGAATACATTATCAGAGGTAAAGTATAGGAAACTGAAATATCGATATGTCTACTTGAACATTTGAATTGAATTTATAAAACATTATTAACTTTTGGTGACACAGTTTGTCTTTGCTTTTTATTTTTCATCTTCTTGCTGTTTTTGTGTTTTATTTTTGATATATTATACAGGTAATAGTTTTAAAATTATTTTAAAAAGTAAATGATGGTAATAGAAAGAAACCTTGCCTACTTTGAAACATGGCTATCTATATATCTATCATCAATCTATCTATCACCTATCTACCCATCATCTATCAAATTGAGAAATAAATGTGTTTATATACATATATGTGTCTATAATATGTCTATGTGCATGTATATACTTGGCAGTACTATGGTTTGAACTCAGGGCCTTATACTTGCTAAGCTGGCACTCTGCCAGTTCAGCCATGCCTCCAGCTCTTTTTCTTTAGTGTTTTTTCTAACAGGGTCTCACATTTTTGCATGGACTAATATCCTCTTATTTACACCTCCTGCATAGGTGGAATGACAGGGGTGTGCCATGAGGCCGAATTTACTGAGTGAAATAAGTTCTCACTCACTGTTTGTCCAAACTAGCCTCGAAAAGTGATATTCCAGATCTCCTCCTCCCGAGGAGCTGTGATAATAAGGGTGCACCACTAGTCCCAGCTTTGAAATGTAATTTGAATATTGTGTCAGAGATTCATGTTAAAGAGAGAAATACTGAAGCTTTAGGATTTTTTTTCTATGTGGTAGAAGGCATACTGGGGATATTAAATGATGTTACAAGTACTTGCTTTAATAAGATAATATTTTATTTTTGGTTATATAAAACTTTAACATTAATAAAACTTTCATGGCTATAGAAAGGAAGCATAAATTAAGGCAAGAGGATTAATTTTATCAGTACATTATATTAGCTTCACTGATTTTAAATGTTTCCATTTTGAAGTAAATTGTAAAGGTGAAAGTGAAATGACTTAATGCTTATTATGTTTAAAACATATGTTTATAAAACTAATTTATACAACTTTGGTTGTAAAGGCTTTAAAAAGGAATGGAAAATACGTAAATATACAAGAAGTAATGGATCAGTGGACACTCCAGATGGGTTATCCTGTTATCACCATCTTGGGAAATGCAACAGCAGAGCATAGAATAATAATTACCCAGCAACATTTTATTTATGACATCAGTACTAAAACTAAAGCACTTGAACGTCAGAATAACAGGTATAACACTTTTTTATTTACATGGGAAAAAAGCTGTTATTTGTATATGTGACTGCATTTTAAAACTTTAAAAAAATATTGATCAGACACTTCTTAAATGTTGTAGGTAAAATACATTTTTGATTTCTATATTTACACATTATTTAATTTTGATCCTTCCTTTACTCCCACTTCCTTGATATTTTAACCCTTGGTTTGACAACATTTATTTCAGAAGTTAGAATTTTAACTTATCATGATTATTTTAAAAATACAATGTGATTTTTCACTTTTCCCCATGAATGTTTCTTGAATGAAATTCAGGAAAGTTGACATGTGTTTCAGTGAATTAAATGGAGTTGAGCAAACTGTGTAATGAATAAGACAAATGAGAACAGAAACTAAGAGTCAAGAAAAATTAATTAAAACAAGCTAAATTTTGAACTAAATAATGTCTGAGTCAAAGGAACTCAGATAGATACCTCAAATAATCTATGTATCAGTGCCACTTGTTTTCACAATATGTTCTCTTTCCCTCATTTTAGTGTTTGAAATCACTAACCGGATAGAGTACATAGAATCTTGACTTATCACTTTGACTTTCTTTTGAAATTCTTATTCAATCACTGATAATTCACCATGGAAGACTTCCTTCCTTTCTACTTTGTGTTTTCTATTTTGTGTCTTATTTCTAGCCAAGGAAAGATAGTTGAACTTGTATCATTTTCATTTCTTATAAGATGCCCTGATAAGAGGTTGGGTGGGGGTAGGGAAAGAGGGAGAGAGGTTAGAAGGAATAAATAAAAGGAAATGTTTGCATTAGATTACTCATGCTGACTCCCAATACTTGAAAAATCAGAAGTCTAACTTTATCAACCACCAGGATCCAGGAGACTTGGAACACAGTTTTCTTTGTCATTTTTAGATTCTAAGTAGGAAATCATTCCTAAGTCAGCTTGCTCCAGTTCTAGATACACAGAGTAGTGATTAAAAATTCCCTTAATGTTTCCAGTGACTCAAAATCCAGTATATCTTAAATCTTCTGTTCAACATATGTACTGACTTTTAATGCACCCTTGCTGTCCTGTTATTTGGACTCCTGAATGACCTTTCACCTTTCACCTGCCACATTGTCACTGATGTCAAAGTCTGAATGTCAGTGCTTCTTCTCCACCCAGCCTGGATGCCCACAACTGGCAAGTGCTGCTTCTAATCGTTCACCGTCTGGCTCCAGGCTGAACACGCTCAGCCATCAACCTTGGCCTTGCCAGGAAGTACATAAAAACTACTTGACTGTGGCAAAGTTAGAGAGATTCAGGCCAGGCCTTTGAGAAGGTTCAGTCTGACATAAGCATCACTGATGCAGAAAAACATAAAGGACACGCAGATGACAGAACAAATTTTGAACAAAAATACTTTGTCAACGTATGACATACATCAGATGAACCATCCATAGTTTCATCCTTTAAAGGAAAAATTCTTCCCAGCCTGTATGAGCACATGTATCACCTATAGAGCCTTACACTTTCCGGAACTATGAAATCATATGGATGATTTTGAACCCTGGGAATTTGGCATGTAAAATATTAACAGTAAGGTAATGTAAGGCATCCCATTAGACTCAAATATGATTTTCTATTTAAAATAATTGAGCTTGTAGTTGAAAGTGTAGTGTTCCAGTTTTATATTGTTGATCATTTAATTCACTGTGACACTATGGTCAAAGCTTCAATACTAATTCTATCTAATCTTTGTATATATCTTTCTTAGGTCTTTATTACACAATGTAAACAGTTGATGTAGTGAGATGTACTGCCTTATCTATGCCAGAAATGCTATAACTTGTAGATATTTTCTGAGCCAGGATAATCAATTTTTCATTTTCATTTTTCTAGGAGACACTGGATCACCATCACAATTTGTATACATTTTAATGTATGCAGTAATTATATTTTTTTCATATGTAGTAGGTGTTTTACAGAAAGTAAAGATTTCTTAAAAACTAATGATTTCTTAAAGTTAGTGCATGGTAACACAATATAAAATTTCTTCTAGTTTTTGGCACGTAGGAAGTTGTGAACCTCCTAAGTTAAACTCAAGCAGCTAGAATAGAATCTAATTTCACAAGTTCTTCCTTCTAGTTTCATTTTCCAGTTAATCCCAAAGTCTTAGATTTCTTTATACCATGCCATACAGGGCGCTATGCTCAACTGCATCTAGCGTCTTCTTTTAACAAGACAACAAAGCAACTATCATGTGTTCTTTGATTTTAAAATGAGGTTTATGAAGTGACCAAATATGTGTTGTTTAGAAAAATCATGAAAAATAACTTCCTGATGTCAACAAATTACAATATTTTATAAATGAGTACAAATTTCAGATATATTCAGTAATTTGTAATTTTTAATTTGTCTTTGTAACAGTGTATAGATTTTGTGTGTGTATGCACACATGAGTAGAATATAGAAACATTCTTAGGGAAAATATACTTTCCTATTTTAAGAATTTTACAAAATGTCTCAATGTACTATCCACAACTCTTATAATAGTGAACTTTTTTGCACCTGAACAGCTATGTAAGAAATTTTAAGAAATTTTTAGGACATATGTATTATTGACTCTAAGCAACATGTGTTTTTATGAACCACTTTTTTCTGTATTTTAGAGGTTTTCTTTTATAAAACTCTTAATATTGAAGTACACCAATTTTATCCTAGTCTCTAGTTATTTAGAAGAGCACAATTCAAATACATGCAAAAACATTTTTTATAGTGAGGCAAACTGTTTCACAAACAATTTTTGATCATGTAACAAAAAAACCACTTATCCTTGAGAATTTAAACAATGAAGTTTATGAATAAATAAATATACTCATTTTTTAATATTCCTTGCTTGTTCCTTTTCTTTTTGGTGGCATTGGAGTTTGAACTCAAGGCCTTAACACTTGCTAGGCAGTTGCTCTACTACTTGAGCCACTCCACCATCCTTGCTCTTTAGATGATAATTATTTCACCTCATATTTTAGTTGACCCAACTAAATGTGGAAGTTATATACTATAAAGTTAAGTTAATGAAGTCAATCTTTGTCTTAACTATACATTAATTTGTTCCACTTTTGATCCCTATTTTACTTTAAGTATATTAATCATATTCAACAAGAATATGCCTCTTCTTTCTATACTTTTCTAAATGTGTCTATAATTTACTTGAGAATCAATTCATTGTTGTCTAATTATTCTAATTAACAAAAAAGATGCTATTTTTAAAGAACAGCTATTACAGACTTGTATCAATTCTCTGTGTCTTCTTCACAGTAAATCTGTCAGTAAATATTTGTGACATATTTTTATCCCAGTAGTTTTTATTAAAGAGCCTACCAGGGTTTTTCACTAATTATTATCTGAAGAATCAATTCAGGTTCAACTACCATGGTTATTTCTGACCAATTGTGCAGAATGGACTGTAGAGTAGTATAGTAGTATAGTTTACATGTAGTTGGCACTGAAAAATGTTTCTGTCATTACATATAGCATAGAGATTTAAAAGTTAGAATCTTATATTATTTTGACTTCCCACAATGGAGATAATATTTGTATGAAATTATGAATTTCTTGCAATCTTCTATTTAGACTCTAATATCACTAAATTTTGTTTTTGAGGAATAAAAATATGAAATGATGAAGTAATAAAACTCTACATGATAGATTTCAGTGAAGATACTCTCCTCTTTCAGTTCCCCCCAAGACATGTTTATCGTTTAGCTTATTACCTTTAAAATTTTTCAATTCACCACTCACTTTACAGTAACTGAGTTCATACATATATCTTCCTATATTTCTAGTAAAATAGTTATCATAATGGAATTTTTGACTACCCCTATTGTTAGTAGTGTGTGATGAGAAATCAAAATAATCTGCCTATATTTCAAGGAAGGAACAAAATACAGTTATCTCACTTATTGTAAAACTATCCAGTGTTTGTCTGGCTACTCATTGGACATTAAATTGATATTGCTTCATGTATAAATCTAGACCACAATTTTTATACTATAAAAAGGCAAATGAAAGAAAATGTTGCTCTTCAGTAGCTGAGGCTCATGGGTAAGTTGATGGGTGTTATGACACATGTATGGAAATTCCATTTCAGAAAACAGAGCCTGAAGTGTGTCACACAGTGTTTCTTGTATTGATCCTGATTTTAGAGGCATCTGAGTAGTTTTTCTTTTCCTTTGCTTTTTGTTGAGTAACTGTAGGCATGCCACATCAATCTCTCTGTAAAATATGTTAATAGTGTCCCCAGAATTGTTAGACAGTAAATAAGGGAGTTGTTGAAATGCAAATGTATGGAACCACTGAAATGTATATTAATCTAAAACAGAAAAAAATAGAAAGGAGTTATTTTTAGGGCAAATCAATATATAGTGTGGCTCAGATTTATAGATTTTAGTTACTTTTTGTTTCTGAAATGCAAATCTCATTTGTAAGATAAATTGTTTTGATTTTAGTTCTTCATTTGCACTGAAATTAAAATTATTAGAGGCCGAATTTAGTGGCATCAGAAGAGTAAATTCATCTTCTTGAGTTGTTCTTTACTTTTATGCCAGGGATTGATCTTATTTATTTATTTATTTATTATTTTTAATTTTAGCATTCCTGAGGGTGCATAGGAAATCTTTTTGTTTTTGTTTTGACACAGCTATTTTTATTCTTAAAGCTTTAAAGCTTTTTTTTTTTTTTTTTTTTTTTGCAGTTACCTATGGCAGATTCCATTAACTATTGTGGTAGGAAATAGAAGCCATGTGTCTTCAGAAGCAATTATTTGGGTGTCTAACAAATCAGGTAAAATACACATTCCTCCCTGAGGAACTATTTGGTTTCAGGTAATTGTTTAGCAACTTAACTTCTGGTTTTAGCTCTTACACAATGTGAATGAAGACAAATTATAAAGAGAAAATACAGTAACGATAATCATTTTTACAAAACGATGTAGAGTAAAACATAGTTTCTAAATAGCCTAATTTCAGGCTGCTTATATAATTATTAAATTTATTTGTTTCTTTCATGGCAAAGAGAAAAAAATCCAGTACTTATCTTTTTAAAAATTGTATAATTTTATAATCCAAATGTAATTAAAATCTAATCACAACTCCTAGTACAGCAGTATGAGAAATACTGAAACAAAACCTTGATTTTAAATCCTATTTTCCTGCTGCTGTTTTTTTTTTTTTTTAGCCAGGCCATCTCTTTAAGGGGTGAAAAAGGTAATAGTCCCCATAAGGCTACAAGTGAGGGGTTTAGACAGGTCATCAAGCCACCATCCAAGTAGGGTCAATCCTGAAGGAGCAGAGAGAGATATCTAAGATTCTATTCTCCTTCTAAATATCATAAATAAGATAGTGACTTATTTCAATTCACTGTCAGAAAGCTATTTCTTGAATCCAATCTATATCCTTGATGCTAGAGTGTGAAACAGGTCCATTTTATTTCTGTTTTCCACTGAGTTGGAGAAAAAGCCAATTATCGTCTTTTATGTAACATTTCATTTAGATTTAGATGGTCAAGTGAGTCCTTATTTTGTTTTTCCTACTCCTTTTTCTCATGCTGTTAATTGAGGTTGTCTTGCTATTTTATTTTGAAAGCATCATTTTAAACAGCCACATTAAAAAAATAAAAGTGAGATACATATAAACAAATGTTGGTTTTCCCCACAGTCCAGTGCTAAAAATACAAACATGTAAACATACAAGAAAAAGTCTTAAAACAAAATCTAATTTAAGTAATAGTATTCATAGTTCTAGGTGAATTTTTATTCAGATTTTAATGTCATTGTATTTTTAACACAAACGCAAATGAAAATATATGCTTTCACTTACATGCATGTTATATAAAATATGCACATGTAATTTAATGATGTATTGAAACACTTCAACATTTATTAATGTTTTTCCTTTTAAATAATTATATATATTGTTTTCATTCCTCAGAGTTAACATTGATACCATGGTTCGGAATCACACATACTGTACTACATATCTTTATACTTCTCTCCATGTAGTTGTTTTATTTATTTATATAATCTGTTATATAATAATGAATGAGAGCAGTAAGTCTTTACTGTAATGCTTTGACTATTAGAATGAATTCACACCACCATAGAAGAGTTAGCAGAACAGTCTTCAGAAGTAAAATAAAATGTTCATCTTTGAAAGGTGGAATTTGGAAATGGAAAATTAGAAAAGTGTAAAACTACTGATCAAACCTCAGGGATAGTCCAACACTTCACATTTACACTGGGAGGATTTATTCAAGTTTGATTCTTGTTGCATGCATTTTCTAGGTCCATTGTATCTAATTCTGGTTATTTCTATAATATTATGCTATTATGCATAGTATGCTTTTATCCCACAGAGAATCAAAAATAGTGTCACAGCCTTCTTGACTCAGAGCCACTGGTGACTGTGTTTAGAGATTATTTCTTTGTATACCTTTTCATTACTAGTCGGGAATAATGTCTACCTGAAATATTGCCTGTATTGATATGCATGGTCATTGTACCCAGCTGCACAATTTGTGAAATGTATAATTGTAGGAGGTGCTATTTGCATAGACTATGATATGAATGGAATTTCCCCAGTCCAAAGTTGTACAATGTACAACTTTGCAGTATAATGTGTCATTTCTATTAAGTCATAGCAGAATCTTCTGTTTGGTATAAACAGTCACAGGTGAAATATTGAGGTTTCGGAGGCTGCCCATATTAACTAGGTGCTTCGCAAATACTTCATTAGAACAAAAATGAAGAAGAACATTTCCAAGAGGGGCTTAAAAGAAATACCACCTTTTTATATTGTCTTTTTAGTCCCATCTTAATTGTCTTTAATTTTGTCTTGAAATCTTTCATCCTGATGACTAATAAAACTAGTGCCAGAGAGAGCTTATGGGAAAATAAATTATGAACTTTTATCCAAAATGTCAATAAAACTAATGCCGATAAAATTTTTCATAAAATATGAAGAAAGTAGTCTAATCAATTCTTACCAACATAAGTAAAAAGAATTTCTGCATATAATTATATTAACCAGATCAATATTTCTGTCATTTTCTTTGTGAGTAGTAATGTAGATTTGAACTCACAAGATATTAATACAAGGTAGTTAATGGATAATATGTATAAAAATTATATTTTAATCAACATATGTTCTTGGCAATTCATTTTTAAAGCCCTTTAGGTGAATATTTAATTTCAAAGAAAGGCATAGGTCATGGTAGACCAATATTAGCTTTTAAACTAATTTGTAAGTTTTTTAAAGCAATTTTTTTCATTTTTTACTGTGAAAATACTAAGAATTGAGGCATTCATAAATGTTGTAGCTGTATCTTGACTGACTATTCAATTAATGGTGAAAGGGGGGAATAAATTTAATGTGATCTGTTAGGAAAGAAAAGATTAAAAATGAAAGAGAAACTGGTCCTGAAAATTAGAAGTAAATACTACAGATTGCTTAATGCTATAATGCTTACCTTGATACATTGACTCACATGAGATGCACAAATCTTTAAAATGAGTGTTACCTTTGCCCATATTTTACAAATGAGGAAATTAAGGCTAGAGAAATAACCTTTCCAATGTGTGAGTTGCCTAGTTAAGTAAAAACTTGGCTTCAGAATCTTAGTTTTCTTTTCTCTCTACCCTCCTTTGACTACACACATATGCATGTGCACAAACACAAGGGTGCAGTTTTAAAAGTTTTTGTATGTTGCTTTGCATATCTGCCAATTTCTCAACACAGTGCTTTTGAATATTTGCACATGGTTCTTTTTAAATTCCAAAAAACATTCTCTCATTTTCTTTTCATAAGAGTCTAGTAGGAAATCAATACATGTTATCCACCCTAGGCTTGTCTTACATTGTTACCTTGTTATTTTGGTTCATTTTTTAATTCACTTTTTAAAAAATTATAGTTCTTCTACAGCTAGCAAATATTGTATAGAATGTCTAATCTCACTTCCCTTTTATTACCCCAAAAGTTTAAAGTATAAAATCTTATGAAATACCAACTAGTCTGTGCCTTCATATAATCTGAGTCTTAGGCCAAATTGGAAATAAATGTAATTTTTAATTATTATTACCAACACTCAAAATGTAACTTCCATTTTTTTATTATGGTACTCATCAAATACCATACCTCATTAGGCCATCAGAAAAGATCTCTTTAAAATTCATTGCTTGCCATTAGTTAATTTGAAGAACATTTTAGAATATAATTAACTAGAACCAAAAAGATATTTAAAAATCTATTACAAAATCTTTCAGGGAATCATTTCTCCAAAGATCTCATTTGTAGCAAAGGTATAAAAATATTCATGAACAGTAATAACCTTCAGGTTTTAGTTGTAAATTTAATAATGGCATGTTTAAAACAATAGATACCTGTTTTTTTAATTCTAGTTGGATGATGTAGAAGCTATAGGGATTATTTTTCTATTGTAATATTCATGCTAATTTTAATTTGGCTGTATTTTACTTAGAAATTTTTAAATGGAATAAGTTTAAAAACCTCAAGTGAACTACATGAGGTTTAAGTTATGCCAGCCATCTAAAATGTAAGCAGAAAATAACTGTAACAAATGGATTTAATATTACAGGAGTCCATGACATTTAAAATTTGTAAAATTTGTATCACGTGTTCATGTTTTAAATGTGATGCTTTAACATTGTAACATTTTTGGAAAAAAACCACTTTAATGAAAACGATGAAATGTGCTCAGCTCAGATGAATTTAATCATAGGGTTTTTTTTGTTATGAAATCTTAATATACTTGAAGACACTTAAGATTGCCTAGGAGAAGCAATATTTTCAATATTTAAGTTTTAATTTTTCCACTGAACTTTCAAACATTATTAAGTAAAGTCTCTCTTGAAGAGGAGATTTAAATATTTTAAATGCCTATTTTATTTATAAATAACATTACCTTGTTGATTATTTCTGTTGTCATTCTTATATCTGTAAGTGGGAGTGACATTTTAAAGTTCTCCAAAGCATTGTATGGATAATCACATTAAAATTTTGAAAAATATGCATTTATAAAGTTTCGGAGACTTGAGAAACTATTTGTGCTTTAGAGAAACACCGAGCACTCTTGGACAATTCCATTAGCCTCTATTCTTTATCTGTGCCAATGCAAACCATTCACAAAGATGGCAAGAAGTTGAATGATATTTGAAAATTAAAGATTTAATTTTAATACTCAATATTTTATGTTTTGAATTTAAGTACATTTTGTCTTACTGCAGATTTTTGAAAGTGACTAATCTGTAATACATATTGTATTAGTTGGCCTTCCCTATTATAGCCCTGAGAAATAAATGATATTGATGTCCACTCAATAATTTTTTGTGGGATAGCTTTTTCTTGTTGTACCATTACTTGAAAGAGAATCACTTACAAATTCAGTACTTTGAGGAAATAAAGGGGAACATTTTATTTCCTGTTTTGGATTCTGATGTGTAGAAACTCTTGAAAATGGTTTGTTCATGACTCATATATGAGATATATGGTTTCTGGTTTCTGTAATATACTTTATGGTTTTAAGTCATCATAGAAAGTAGAGCATGCCAGTATGCTCTTGTTTTGTTTCACTTTCTTCCTGAATGTCAGATCATGTGTGAGTGTGAGTGTGAGTCTGTGTGTAAATTTTTCAAGAGTATGTAGTTCTTTCTCTGTGCCATACTAGAAAGAGTTAAATATGTAAGAAGTGATAGTATTGTTTTTCATAGGTTCTGTTAATTGGATAAGCTAGTGAACATAATAAGTTATCATTTTCCAAAGTGATTCCAATAAGCACAATTCTCTTTGTTTCTAATTCTATATTGAAATATTACTCTTGAACAAATGAGGTTTCCTCTTCCTCCTCCCATTATTGATGTCGAGAAGTCTGCTATTTATTAGTGCTTATAAGAATGCATGAGAAAAAAGGCAAGAAGCAACAGTGACTTTCAAGCAAATGAGCTCTATTGTTTTAATCACTTTCTTTTTGAATAAAATAAGTAGAGAACAGATCTAAAAGTTCATTTTATTCTAGTTGCATATACACATATAATCTAATTAAAAGCCACACCGATATAATGGGAGATTTCTAGGTTACATTTATTTTCAGAAAGAATTTGTGTGTAGGTAATGGGTTTTATTCAGAACAAAAATGTTAATTATAAGAAAATTGAGATAATTATGAGTAACCAGCTAAAAGTTTTTCTAACCAATTCTAGATGAATGTGATTAATTAAAGAGTAGGTTTTGATAACATGTTTAGAGTAGCATTCTCTTAATTATTGATATTGCTATATATGGTATTAAGAAAACATTTCATTTAAGTCAAAATTTAAAACCTATTTACTCTCAAATTGCTATTTTCAGAGCAACACAGAATAACCTACTTGGAGAAAGGAAGTTGGCTGCTTGGAAACATCAATCAAACTGGCTACTTTAGAGTCAACTATGACCTAAGGAACTGGAGATTATTAATTGATCAATTAATCAGAAACCATGAGGTATATTCTACATTTGCTTATCAGAGATCTGCTTTGACATGTGAACACCTACCATTTTAATCTTAAATGATTTTTTTTCCCCTGATTGGTCACATAGGTTCTTTCTGTCAGTAATCGTGCAGGTTTGATTGACGATGCCTTCAGCCTGGCCAGGTATGTTTTCCTGTGGGTCTCCAAGTCATACCTGTGAAAGTTCCTCTATTTAGATAAATAACATACATGTTTTAGACTTAAGAAATTTAAAAAATAATCTCCGTCTCACAATCCTTGTGTTTAGATATGAATTATGTTCAGTGTCCTAAACTCTTGATCAATACTAGCCCTTGGGTATTTTGCAGACAGGAGAAGCTTGATCAATTTCACTGCAAGTTGAATTTAACACTCTGGAGATTAATAATCTCTTCCCAATTTCATTAATGAACTGTACAAAATGGCGATTGTGCCATATTTAACTCTTGATAGAAAATACCTTCAAGCATCAGCAATTTTTTACTGACATATGCCAGTATATCTTTTTTAAATGTTTTTTTGAATGCAATTCATTATAAAAAGCTTGTGCTGCAAGACAGAAATAAATATTCCACAAGGTAAGAGTGTTCTGGACAAACTATGTATCAATCTTGTAACGGAAGCTTTTAGTTGTATTAGTTGTATGAATATTTGTGTTACTTTTACAACTAGAGTTATGTTTAAGTCAGTTATTCTTTTGAATATTTACCAAATAAAATAATTGTTGCTCACAAACTCAAGCTATTTACTAAATTTTGAGATGAAGTAATAAAACAAATTCAACCTTTTTAATATGTTGTACTTTCTCATATCCATGTATAATTTTAATAACCTATTCTTACAAGCTGCAGCTTAGGACAGAGGTAGCTCTTCTCTTACCAGGTTATCATGATTTGTCACATTTTTTCCTAAGATAATTGTGTAAAACTAGTTCATTATGTCTGTGCTGATGTGAACACAGGACTTATCTTAGTGATAGGCATTGTTTCTTTCATGGGACTTGAAACTCCTTTTACGGTTTATGCAGTCAATCAAATCACAATTCTCTTCTGTATGTTAAAAAGCAAATCATTCCCTGTAGCATTCTAATCCATCAAAACTAATGAGCTTACATATAGGAGATTTGATAATTACCTTGACAGAAGCATAGACAAAGTTTGGACCCAAGTTGGGGAGATTGGTTTTGTGGAAATAAATAATGTAGAGTGGAAGACACATAAAGAAGAATAAAGAAAAATTTTCAGTTACTTTTCTACTTAAAAAAATACTCTAGCTTTTTGCCATCTTTATTGTCACTAAAGAGCCTGGAGCCATTGCTATTATGTCTTCTTACTTGATGAATGACAGTGATGAGGAGCAGTGTCCCATTTGGATCTGGTACATCATGAAGTAGGCACAAATCTACTGATTCTTTGAAATACAGATCTAAGGACAATTTTCAGCAAGAAAGTTCCTAATGAAATTATATCAGTTAAGCACAGCTGTTTAATGAGAATTGAGATTCACATCCAACAAAAGTAAATGGGGGCTCTTTCATGTCATGGCACCATGCTATTGGGCAGAAATTTAGAAATGATATAGATAGAAAAAGGCCTGCTGAAACAGTGATATGTGGAGATAATGATTAAGAGGTAACATTTTTTTCTGTAGTAAAATATGAAGACTTTAAAGAAAATATTATGTATGACAAAAAAATATTTTTACATGGAATTTTAATGAGCCCACAAAGCCAAAAGAGAATGCCAGATTTAAGGCCACATTACAATGAGAACAAAACAGATAAAGAGAAGCAGTGCTGTGTATCAAGAATTAAAGGTTAGGAACTCAAAGAAAACAATCAGCAGCTAATTATTAATACTTACTCGGTGTAGACATTGGTGTTTTTTACAGCCATGAATATAATAGTACTCCCACAGTATTTGTTGGAGATGCTTGCAAGACCCTCTACTGATACACAAACCTGTGGATGTTCAAGTCCCCTATATAAAAAGGGAATTTGAAATAATTATAATATAATCATCTCTAAATTACTTATGTAAATGGTATGTAAATAGTTGTTAGTTATACTATATTGTGTGGGGAATCATGTTCAGAAAAACATTCTACTTTAGGAAACCTTCAAAGTTTGAAACACAATTTTATTATCCTTCTTATAAATTCACCAGAGGAAACATCCAAATCTCATTAAATATATACTTTTAATTTGTTTTACTGCTGATGTGCTATTTTATTAATAGAGTGAGACTGAATAAATGCAAAATCAGAATAATTCAGGCAAATGTCCTATACTTACTTGGGCATATAGCTAAGCATTATATATATTTTATGTATCCTAGTAAATATTCCATAATATTGCTATTCAATTTATATCAACCCTCTTTCACATTCACTTCCATGTCAGGCACTCTTTGGCTTCTTTAAAAACAGCACGTGTAAAAATACCAAGCATTTATTAAATACTTATGAGCTAGGCACTGTGCTGAGGCTTTGGTTAACAACTTCTGCCTAATCACCATTTCATACCAGAAAAATGGAGGTTAAGATAGCTAAGATTTGGCAGCTTCTGTATGTGTGTGAGTGTGTGTATGCATGTGCGTGTGTGTAAGCGCACGTGTGTGTGCATACGTGTGTGTGCATGGGTGTGTGGGCGTGTACACGTGTGCATGCATGGTGTGTGTGCTCGTGTGCGTGTGTGTACATGTGTGCATGCATGTGTGTGTACCTCTGTGTGCATGTGCACGTGTGTGTTGCGTGTGCACACGTGTGTGCTCATGTGTGCGCGTGTGTGCACGTGTGCATGTGTGTGCTTGCCTGTGCATGTGTATGGGGGGTGCATGTGTGTGCATGCACATTGTATATGTGTGCATGTGTGTGCATGTGTGTGCCCATGTGTGTGCCCGTGTGTGCATGCGTGCATGTGCACGTGTGCGAGTGTGTGCGTATCTGTGTGCACATGTGTGCATGTGTGAGTATGTGCCTGGACGTGTTTGCATGCGTGTGTATGTGCCTGGACGTGTGTGCGTATGTGTGTGTGTGTGTGTGTGCGCATATGTGCGCCTTTGTGCGTATGTGTGTTCATGTGTTTGCGTGCTTATGTGCGAGTGTGTGTGTGCACATGCGTGTTTCCTTGTGTGTGTGCATGTGCGTGTGTGCAGGTGTGTGTGCGTGTGTCTGTGCATGTCTGTGTGTGTGCTGATGTGCATGTGTCGCACGCGTATGTGCGAGTGTGTGTGCACGCATTGGTTCACGTGTTCTCATGTGTATATGTATATGTGTGCATTTGTGTACATGTGTGTGCATGTGAGTTGTGCTTGCCTACGTGTGAGCAATCATGTGTGCATGTCCGTTATGCGTGAGTTTGAGCGTGTGGGTGGTGTTCACGTGTGTGTGTGCACATGTGCGCATGTGTATGAGTGTTTTCATGTGCATTTGTGCACATGTGTGTGCGTGTGTAGTCTCATGTGCGTGTGAGTGTGCCTGTGTGCAAGTGTGTGGACGCGCATGTGGGCATGTGTGTGCATGTGCACATGCGTTTGTGTGCTTGGGCACGTCTGTTGTAGTGTGCATACGTGTGTGCATGTGTGTGTGTTTGCCTGTGTGTGTTTTCTTGTGCACATGTGTGAGTGTGTGTGCGCACATGTATGTGTTTTCGTGTGCATATGTGTTCATGTGTGCGTGTGTGTGCATGTGTGTTCTTGTGCACATTGTGCATGTGCATGTGTGCGTGCATGCATGCTTATGCATGTGTGTGCGTGTGTACCCCATGTGTATGTATACCCACACACATATATGTGCTTGTGTGTGCGCGTGTGTGTGTGTGCGTTTGAGTGTGTGTGTGTGCCTGTGTGTGCGTGGCTGTGTGCATGCATGTGCCTGTGTGTGTGCATGCGTGTGTTTGTGTGCGCACATGCAGTAGGTGTGGGAACTGAATGGCAAATAGTGGCACAGTGAAGTCCATGAGTTCAAGTAAAGTGAGTTTGCCCATTGCATGAAATTCCTTTCTATCTCATCTTCAATTCAGAATATTTTCATTAATTCAAAAGGAAAGATTACTATTTCACTTGCCCTCCTTCACCCTAGCCTTTTCTGGGCTTCCAGCAAAAGCTCACTCTTGATGGTGTTCCACCACCAATGGCAGAACACATTATTTCTCTCCATTTGCTCAGGTTCTGTGGATCAGTGTTTCAGCAGTTGTCACCCTATTGTCCACCACTTACTTCTGGGCTCCTGATAGCTCTCACATGACCTGGCATAGAGTGCTAGGTATCACCGTTGTGATACATAATTTAATCCTTGGTACAGGATTGTGCCAGTGTATGTTTGTTGAATAAATAATTATATGTTGATCATTAATTGTTGATTTACCAACATATAAACTTCATGCTACTATTTTAGTGCAGTTAAATAACCATGATCTAGCATTCCTTTTGGGCTAATTTTTAAATACCTCAAAGTATACCAATGCATTCTAATAATAAAAGGTTAAGACAAACTAATAAAAACAATATCAAATCTTATTTCACTCCCTCCAACCCTGCCATCACTTTACCCTCTTCACAGGTGAAAATTTTAAAAATTGGTATGTATAGACTGAGACAATTTTTTCATATACACTTCCATAAAGCTTACTTTTTAAAACATGAATAGAAATGCAGTATAATCTCTAATTTATAAAAAATTAAGTCTGGGGCAACTTTCAGTTGTTTCCAGTGTGTTGCAATATCCTAGGTAAAATGTGTGTTTTTTAGGGTTGATTCCTATAAATGTAATTTTGGGTTCAAAGAGTATAAAAATCTTGATAAGTATTTGAAATTGTATACAAAGTCTTCCCCAGTATCTGCCAAGCAGATATGAAAGAGTCAATTTCTGTGACTCTTCCATTATAATAAATAGTGTAAGTATTTTAAATTTTGACTATCCAGTGGCCAAAATAATTTTTAGAAGTTATTTGCTATTGGCTATAAGAAGTTGTGCAGCCTTTCTTACATTTGCTGCTTGTTTCTTTTCTGAATTGTTACTCAGTTATAAAAGGAAGATTAGAATCCTATAGAAATCAAGCAGAAACAGTCTCTTACTGTATTTTTCTATATGCTTTTCAGGTTTTTAGATATTAATCCTTTTGGTAGCATCCATATACAATATTT